ATCAAAAAAAAAAATAACTGCATTCAGTAATGTTGACACATATTCTCAATGAAATATTTCAAACTGAAAAATAGTTCATGACATCTAGAAAACACTTAGTAACGATGAAAACTAATAGAAGTGACTCCATTTAAATCACAAGCATTTTTTTCAAAAATAATTATTTTCGAACTATTATGTATCTGTTTTTCCAAATATATCAAATATTTTCCACGATTAGACTAGAGACTTCAGTTTAACTCAAGGCGAATATTCTGTCTGTCAGAAAAGTCTTCCTAAACGATCTTCAGCAGGATGGGAAACGAGAACGTATAATAGCACCAATATCCGATGTTATATGTAGCTTATGACTCCGGCTGATTGGATTTGAGAACGAATCAACCATGAAAAAAAACATTGATCATTATATTCTTAAGAACTAAATAGTCCCTTTATACTTATCAAATCAATTTCCATTTATATTCTAACAGATTTACCTTTCTTACTTATCAATTAGACTCATTCACAAGAGAGAAAATGCTTATTTTTGATCATAGTCATAATCAATCGACATTTTCTTTTTTAAATAAGAGTAGCACATTTTATAATGAACAATAAAGAATAATATTTTTTTTCTTTTCTTCTGTCTCATCGCAATACCTATCGCTAATAATATTATTGTTGTAGTGCAACAAATTAAACCTCGTTTACCTAGATGTACACACTATTAATATGAAATTTATCTATTAGATTACTTTTTTTCTCGTTATGCAATATAACAAGAATATATGTTTACCATCTTTTTATCTTGGCAGTTGAGTGAGAAAAGTTTTCAATGGTGCCATTATTTCACCTATATGTCAATTGTGGCGGTAAGTTATTTGTATTTTATTCAAGCAACATCTCACTTAGTCGTCGTAGTATTTTTAACACCATATCGAATGTGGATCATTTTCAAAGAACAATATATCTCTTATTTTTTTTACCCTGGCATGTCTTCTTATTTATGCCGGTATCGACTATTCTTACTAAAAATATTCGTTTTCCTTCTAGTTTTACAGGATGAGTTCATTTTATAACTATATGACTCTGGTAGATATTGCCGTTGTTGTTTACTATCTTACTCTAATTGTACCTATCAGAACCATTTACGTCGATATCTAGTATCAAGTTAGACATGTCTAAAAAGACGCAATAAATAAGACTGTAAAAAGAAATAATGGAAATCGTGATTTTGAACCACATCGTAATTTTATCTGTATCATGGAAGCCAAACTTTTGAAGGATGAAACGCCAAGCATTTTATTTAGAATGGTTATTATCAAAAATATTTTATTTATGTACATCATCACTTACCGATATCTTAAGTCATTGCTCATATACGTAAAAATCTACTTGATCGAAGTCTATCAAAATATGTGTAATTGAGTAAAACTCGTCACATCATTTCAAAATATTATCCAAATCAAAAGATGTCAGCTAACATTAGGTAATGATTACAAAAAATGTTGGGCATTGAAGAAAAGAACATTGAATTAATTAATTTCTCTTACTTATAACATATGAATGTATCAAAAATCAAAGATACCTAAGTAAACATTTGTTTCTTTTAATCATCTGGCAACATATCATGAATGATTGCAATGTCATTTTTTATTTGTAAAACTTAAATGTCCAAGGTGTTTTTCAATGCTTTTTAATAATTCAACTTAACTTTCTAATTCATATTTTATGCAAGTTACAATAATATGTTTACAAGAAAAACATGATAGGAACAGAAAAAAAGAGCTTCGTTGATGTCTAATAGATGTATAATCAAATTCATTGTAGAAAGTTATCGACGTGACGACTAATATTGAATTCAATATAACCGTCACATCGTGCATCTATGCATCACACATTCAAGTTTTATTCTATTGGCACTTCCGACATGTGATTACAGGAAATTACGTAAATTTCCTCAAATATGTGACTCATCTTTTTTTTTTTGATAGTCATAAGTCAATCTGTTGCTCTTCTAGAAAAAGAAGCTTGTTATTTGGTGCAAAACGGACCATCATCTCTATGGTCTCATATTGTTCGTAGATGGTACAATTTTATCGCTTTGACCATGTATACATATAGTATATGACGGTATTGCTATAATTACACGGTACATTACTATCGTTGTTAACATTTTTGAATGACCTTGTAACATTTACGCCTTTTGCTTTCATACAAATTTCCAGAAAAGTCATTATGATAAACTGATTGATCCATCTGTCTTGATAATCATATTTAATTATGGGTTAAGACATATGTACACACACATATTAAAGCCGAATGCTTACAATCCTTGATTGAACAAAAAAAAAATTTTTTTCTTTCTTAAAATAAAATAAAAACGAATTCATTGCATTTGTAGGTTATGCAATAACAGTCTATTGATCTAACGATGACTTTTTAGGGTATCGTCTTTTTAAAATGGTACATAAGCATAAAAAAAAAGTGTAAATGTCTTTTACATATACGTGCCTATGTACATGTACATAAGATGAGTGCATAACTAAGCGCTCAAGTAAGGAGAAATCAGAAAATTTGCTTCTTTTTTACTACATACATATGAATCGATAATAGTGATGAAGATAACTACGACAACGTTCAACATTAACAAGTTTCAGTGATGTGGTATTGATACAAAAGAAAAAAAAAAGAAAGACAAAAGAAAAGTATAGCATAGAGAAAGAAAAAGAATATATGTGGTAAAAGAAACATGATTACGAAACAGACTGCCAAAAGAAAATGTGTTCAGCATACAAGAAAGAGAGTCGGGGGTATGCTTCTTTTTTTTCCTTCTTCTCTAAATGAAAATGAGCAAATAATCATACTGACAATAGCCGTATGAGACTAATGGCTCCGTACATTTTTATTTCCTTGAAAATTGAGTATAATAATGTCCTTGTGGAGATTTAGAATGAAGATCCTTTTCTTCATAAGCTCATTCATCTGTATGTGTTAGTCCTTGGAGTGCATTTCACCTCCTTTCTTTAATAACTCCCTGCCAATCAACATATAGTTATTGTTATCTGTTATTACAGCTGAATGTTGTAGCTGCGCAAGAACAAGAAGACAGATATCCCACCATTTTCTATGCATGTTATTATTCTTTCTTTTTAGATATGTTCTCATTAGTATTGACACATATTAATTGATGGTGAACATATCAATGTAATGTTCGTCATTCTTTTTCTTCTTTTTTATCTTAATATTTTCTCAGGGTTATTAAATGTCAATGGAAATGAATGTCAATTTTTAACTATGTGTAAATGTACTAATTTTCCTTTATTTACACTTATTGATATAAGTTATTTATCTAAACCACGATCATCATTAAATCAAGATTTATTTTGTACATATTCAAGTGATCAAATAAAAGAAAAAAAAATAACAACATTTGAACAATTAAAATATTTTTATTATCGTTTTCGTACATTAACATTTGCAAATTATCCAAATATACCAACCAAAGCATTCCAATTTGTTCATTTTGAAACTCAAAGTGTAAAACAAACACATAAAACAAATAATCGTAATGTTATTGCATTTGTTAATATTAAACATACTGAACCTGGTTAGTTTTTATAATCATCAATTTCTATTTATTTATTTGTTTCTATTATTGTTTTTATTTAGGTATATTTGAAGAATTGAGTTTGTCAGATTCTCAAGATCAACTTATTATTTCATTTCTTAATTCACCCACACTTTATTATGCTCATGGAGCGCTTTCTAAACTTAACTGTTATGAATTTAAATTAATTAATACTAATCCACAAATACCGATAGATTTTTTTTATCAGACAATTTCCATTCATCATTTAATTATTAATAATCCATCGTTTTCTGGTTTTCTTCCACCGTCAAATTATAAATCTTTATTCATTTTTCAAATTTATAAACTTTCAATAAGAGATATTAGTGTTCGTCAATTACGGGGTAAACATTTTCCAATCGTTTTTAATTCAGTATATGAATTAACATTAGAAAATTATAATGTTAATGGTGGTTTTCGTTCATTTAATAATCGTGAGTTAGCTCAATGTTTTCCACAATTACGATCATTAAAAATATTTCCAAGATCAATTCAAAATATAGTTTCACGAATGTTTGAACATTTGAGTCAATTAGAATATTTATCAGTAAATGGAATAATTACCATTGAAAATAATGCTTTTTTCAATTTATATCATTTAAAAGAATTAAATCTTGGTGAAAATATTCTTCGCCTTGATCCATATGCATTTATTCATATGAATACAAATATTTTATTATTAAATCAAAGTGATAATTTTCAATTAAATGATGATAAAAATTTTTGTACATTTGTTCAATTTTCACCATCAACAAATTTAAAAACCTTCGTACAATTTTCAAATAATTTAAGTTATTGTTCTTGTACTCTTCGTTATTTATATCGTCATTTAGATAAGTCACTTATGTCATTAACACCTTATTGTTATTCAAACTCAAGTTTATATATTTTAACACAAGAAGAACGTATATGTCATTTTGAAAAACGTTTACTACAATGTGATATATTACCTGATGAAGGTATAACAATTTATGGTAAATATTATAATGTATCGTATTTCTATCAACAACAAATAACAAAACAAAAAAATCAATTATCAAATTTTTTCCGTCATCGAATTTATTATATTGTATTATTACCTATATTAATTATTATTTTATGTCTTATTATTCGACAACAAAAAAATCGTCATAATAATACGTATAGACATTTACATCGTTTATTAAAACGACGAATAATATCAAGAAATGAAAATATATCAACAAATGAAACATTTGATATTATATATCATCATACAACTGAGATTTTTGATCCAATGTCTTCAAGAGCATATATAGCAACTAGCGTGTGACATATTCAATGGATAATTAAGCGAAAATTTTGTTTCAAAATTATTTTTATTGATATATCTGAATTATTTCCATATCAGACAGGGAAAAAAAAGAAAATATCAATTGTTGAGATTACTAATAGGACGTGAAAGTCGAGCATTATCGGTATTTAAATGTGGCATTGATGGTGTCATCCTTCGAGATTCATTTAGCTTTGATGATCGAACAATTGATGAACGATACGGCGGATCAAGAGGTTGAAATTGTGATGCAGTTAGACGTCCAGTGAAAAGAGGCAATCTTGTAAAAGGATTATAATGAGATTATGTGAATATACAAAAAAAAAAAACAAAGATTTAAACTTACAAAGGATTTGGAGTATTGAACAAATCACAATCATTGATATTAAAATCTTCGAGTATATTTTGTCGAAGTTTAATTTCTGAAAAATAAAATTTTTATGTAAATTGTTTGATATTCAACATAATAAATTATACTTTTCATTTGTTTAATTGCATCCATAAAATATTCAAAATGTCGCATTTTTGCTCGAATTAATGCTAATTCTTCAGCTTGTCCACTTAATAAAAAATTTTGATAATCAAGAGTTTCCATACATTGTTCTAACATCTAGAATTTTTATATTTATTGATATCAATAAAAATAAAATCATAACTATATTTACAAATTGATATTGTAATACTTGTTCTTGTACATCCATCTGACTTTGCAATATATGTGTACCCATTTGTTGAAGGGATATGGTCTGAATACAAGAAGAAAATATGCTTATAAACTTGATCTGTTACTCTTACAGCCTTTCGTCGTTGCATATTTTCATCTTCAAGTTGCTTCAATCGTCGAGTATTAGTTTCATTTTGAATAGTTTGTGCTGTATTTGGTACCTTTTTTTTTTTCAAGAAAATAGGTAATTTTTTTAAATAGAATAAATAACATACTAAATTTGTTGGAATTGCAATCACTGATGGCAAAGTGTTAGCTGTAGCATAATCATTTGAAGCGAAACTGTTTGCAGGACCTATCAGTTGTTGTGCAAAAGTAAATGGTGGAATCGGTGGTGGATTGCCTATACTTCCTGTTGTAGACGTTGGTAAATTTGGATTATTTACCGTAGATAATCCAGTTGGATAGCCACCACCTGGTTGGATGGGTCCTGTTATTGTAGGACCCGCTGGTGAAGAACCCACAGCTGCAGACCATACATTCGAAACTGATGTTGGTGGTGGTAGGTGAGACATTATATGCTCTTATTCTGATGAATACCTACAAAAAAATTGTAACAGGTAGTAGCTTTCGTTGGTTACCTTAGAAGAGGAAAAAAAATTTGTGCATTCAGCTGTATCGGCAAATAAAGTAAATGCAAGTCAAATACACATCGATATGTTATAAATCACTGCACGTGTATAACATTATCATATACATATATATACATAACGTTTTTTCATAAAAACGTATACAATATAAAATATGGGTGATATTTTTGATCCATTGAACAGTACTGCTAATAAAGCATCGACAAGTTTAAATAGTATGTATGAATGAGTTGTTTTTATTTCATGTAAAAATATATTTGTATTTTTTTAATAAAAAGCACACATTGACAAAAATAAATCAAATACGGATGGTAGTCCATATCGTCCTACATATAAAAGTGTTTGGACGCGTCAAGCATCAACTGATATGAACAGACAAATGAGTTTACCTGGCGAACAAAACTCTCAAGTTTATATTATTGAACAAAAAACAAAACCATACTGGGAAACAGGAGAAGGTTCTTTTGAAGAATGGCATCAAGATCAAGCGGAAGGTTATCAAAGCAAGTATTTTTAAAAAGAAAGCTTGTTAGTACGATTTCATTAGAGCTAACATTGAAACTCACATTTGTTGTTCTTTAATCTCGGTACACTAATATGAGATACCTTAAGTGAAAAATCTCTAACAGATTAGAATTACTTTCCAAGGATAATCAATTGCCAGAAAAACAATCTTTCCTATTTATTATTTATGCATTTTACAAAGAAAGTTTTTCTTTTTTTTTTTTACTGGCGTTATATTTTTGTTGGCCTTCTTGATATTTTAGCGTTGTGTTTTTATTGTCGTAATCGGTTGCGCTTAATTAAACATTATTATTATTCAAGCCATTGATTTAACTGGCAAATAAGCTGATTGTAGAAGATGTCTGAGAAGTCACCGACAAAAAAATAAAATTGTATATTTCTATTATGATTCTATTGGAACAGGACTAACATCTTTTCATATGTTTTATAATCGTGTGAAACTTGCGTTAAATCTCATATTTTCACGACTCTCATAGTCTAAAAGTTTAAACAAAGGACATTGCTTAATGATCTCTTCAATATCAGCTGTTACCGTTTTGATAGTAAAATGAGTCTTTTTTTTTCGTAGACAACCTATTGTCGAGTACATAAACATGCAGAATAGACGAAGTGTTAGGTAATGGAAAAAAAGTAATGAATCTTCATGAGAAAAGATATTAGAGGTGATGCGAGCCCTGCAAGACTTTTCGAATTCATAGGCACTGCTATAAAATGATATCACATTTTCTACTACAACATACATAGCTAAGCGCAAAGTCAAAACAAAAAACTATTCTAATTGGAACTGGAATCAAAAACGCTTGATTTTTCTCATCACTAGGTAGAGGACACTATCAAAGTTTTATTAATAAATAAAGTAGCAATTCCTGATTTCAATACACAATAAAGTCCTTTTTTTAAGTTGTAAAAATTCATATGTAGGATTCTTTTTTCTTAAACTACTTCAATTTTGTTTCATTATTCTTGGCTTTCAGTCGTTCAGATCTATCTCTCTTGTTTTATAAATATTTCTTTAACACGTCGATAATATCCACAATGTATGCTAGATTTCTTCAAAACAATATGTTCGTCCTTGATCAAACCTTGGATGAAAGGTAAAGTGAGTCACTCGATATAATTTTAGGATTTTCGCAAACACTAGACTAGAGATCAATGTGTGTAATTTGTTATAAATGTCTAACAAACGTTGATAAAGGGAGAAAAATAGGCTTGGATGATTGCAACCTCCAATAATGAAACAAAATTTAAGAAAAAACCTACATCTTGTTGTTTTTGCAACTTGAAAAAAGATTTTATTGTATATTGAATCAAGCAATGTCCTCTACTTCTAGTATCAAAGTCACTTCATCCTATTGAATCATAATGGAGATATACATTTCTTTTTTTTGGTCCAGGATTTCTGAGACCTCCTGTACATATCCATTAAATTTACAGAAAGTCTCAACGCTTCATGATACATTCTGATACACTTAGAAAAATCGTTATTGATTATTTTCTAAACTTATCACTTGATCAGTTCATACATTTTATGTTACTCATATGATGACTATGCCATATGGATGCATCATTATTCAACATCGTTAACATCTTAAACATAAATTTATATCTATAAAAAAATTAAAAAGCTGAACACAAATGTATTTCAGCCATTCAAATATTGAAGGAGGCTTTAGAATGCCCAAGAATTTTCTAGAACAGTTATTTAGTGCCTTTTTCCATTCGTAAGAAATTCTAAAAAAGTAGTTCGATAACTGTTGTTCTCGCTTACTAGAGAAACGTAGCTTATGATCATTGGACTTACTTCTGTTACTACGAAGAGGAAGCCAGAACATTCTCGACTTGAAGCTTATACTTGCTACATGTTTCTTCGAAAAATACTCAGTACATTCTACAAAATCAATATTCTTTCTTTTTTACTGATATATGCAAATGCAGGTTATGGAACAGAACAAAGACCCACTTATTATCAAGAAGGGTATTATGAAGATGAAAAATCATATAAAAAGAAAGGAATAGCAGTTAGTATTCTTTCGTTTTATTAATTTTGATTTCGATATATGTTGATGATACTATAGGCTAAAATTGACCGTCTCGCTCAACGTTTTCCTGTGTTAGGTAAATTTTACAAACAACCACCAAACTCACCTAATAATAACGAATCAGGTCAAGACTTTAATTATAATCGAATGTCTAATTCTGTTATTTCAAATTCAATAGAATATAAAATAACTGCTGATGATTTAGCTTTAAATGAACGCTATTCGGATAAAACTCGTATACAAAATATAAATCTTCAAGCATACGATCAAACGCAACCTGTCGATATTTCTATTCATCATGAAAAAAATAAAATATATTTATGTGATATTGGTCGAAGTGTTGTTCAAATTTTTGATATTAATGGTACACTTGAACATGTAATTAATGGTAAAATTATGAGTAAATTTCAACCAACAGCTATAGCTGTTGCTTTCGATGGAACACTTATTCTTGCAAGTCATTTTAATCATTGTCTTCATATGTATTTACCAAATGATACTCAAAATCAATCCAATTGTTATTCTTATAAACAATTTAAATTAGGTACAGAGGGTCATCAAATACATCAATTTTATAATCCAGCTGGTATTACTATTGATAAAAGTGATGGATACTTATATGTTTGTGATCGAGGAAATTATCGTATACAAGTTATTACACCTGATGGTTTATGTGAACGAATAATTGAGTTATATTTAAATGATAAAAAAAAATATCCATTAGATCCAGTTCGAATTGCTCTTCAACCTAATTCTGAACACATTGTTTGTATTATTGGTGCTGGTGATGCCATATGTTTTATTCCAAAATATACTAATGGGTAAGAGCAACGTTGATTTATTTCATAATTTTATATATTCGTATATACATATATATATATCTGATTTGTAGAGCTATACAAGTTGATCCGTTATGTATAGTTGATGCAAATGGATTAGGTCTTGAAAATGCATCTGGTTTAGCCGTAGATAATCATGATCGTATATTTATTGCTGATACAGGTCATCATCGTATTGTGATTTGTACACCTGATGGTTGTTTTCTAACAAGTTTTGGTATGGAAGGTGATGGACTTGGTCAATTGAAACGCCCCTGTGGTTTAGATGTAACAAACGATGGAGCTATTGTTGTTACTGATTCTGGAAATAAACGAATACAATTATTTGGTTTAGCACGTAAACAAACATCTGTAGAAAACAATCCTTCTAAAGAAAATTCTAATATTAATAACCAGTTCTTTCCTGCTGAAGAATTTGATTCAGCTGCAACTCTGTAATATTTAACTATTTTATCACTATAAACTTTCTTTTTTTCTTTTAATAATAATATATTCCTTTATTTTAAATATTATAAAACAGAGTATCTTTTGCATATGACTCCAAAATGATTTTTAGGATCAATTACAGCACGACCACATGAGAAACAAAAACCTCGTTTACAATGTTGACAAATAAGATAATTACCAGTACCAGATTTAATATTGAGTTTTTCACATTTTATATTTGGACAATTTTTAGTACGTTTTACAAGCAGTTCACTAATTATAGGTTTTTGTAATGACTTAGACTCATCCGGATTTTCATGAATGGATCTTTCATGTGCTAATGCTTCCTGTACTTTATCAAGATCATTTTCAAACTTTTCAAATAAGATTTTTGTTTCTGTTGTTTGATCTTGTGCATCACTCCAGTTAAACGGTATACGACAACGTATACAATACATATGATCACATCCCTGATTTTTTTCAATTGGTACTTGACACTTTGGATTTGGACAAAGACGTGTTGAGTTTTCGATTCTTGCAACAGCAAGAAATTCAGTGAAAAATTTTTCTGCGTCATCTGGTTTTAAATTGAGAACTTTCATTTTTTGACGTAATTTACGATGTTTGTCTTTTAACTCAGCTAATTCTAGTTCGTAACCACATAATGTCTGAGAATGATAAGTTTTTTTACATTTTTTACAAAATGCAAAACGACATTGAGTACATAATGCTAGATTATCTTTTTCACTATCAATTAAAACTGCTTGTTGACATCTAAGAATAAAACCAAAATTAAAGAATGATAATTCAAATGATGAAGTCAAGTTTAACTAACCTTGGACACCAAACAATATCTGGCATTTGTTCAAGAGTTTTTTGTAATAATAATCGTTCATATTTGTCATATAATTGATCATTATTAACAATTATTTTTATTTCAGATGGTAATAATGCTAATTTACATTGTAAATCAGGACAAAGTAACCATTCTACTGAACCTGTATTAATATGAATTTGAGCATAGTCATGTAGACAAATTCGACAAAAAGTATGATGACATTTATGTAATCGTATCATATCACGTCCAGGTATATTGTTCGACAAACAAATAGGACATTCATGATATTCGTGAAGAAATTGTTCATATTCTTTTATTTGATTGTATTCTATTAATTGTTCATAAACATATGCAGCTCGATTAGGTTGATAACTAGACATAGCTCGTGGATCATCATTATCATTATCATTATTTATATCTTTATTTGACAAACAAAGTTCATTCATTGATAAAAATTGTTCTTTAAGGCATTCAATCCATTGATAAACAATAGGTTCACTTATATTTTGCTCCCATATTTTATCTAATTGTTGACACATATTTTCAAGATATTTACGAGATAAAAAACATGATGAAAGAACAAATGTTGGAGAATATATTGATGATGGATATTGATCATGAAAATGTACAGTTAAAACTAATGGTGGAAGATGTTGAATTAATGTTGATAATTGATTAGAATTATCAATAAGACATAAATAAAATGGTGTTGATAATTGAAATTCAATATCAATTTCAAATTGATCATTTTCGCTGCTTAAATCTGTAATTGCATCGCCTAAAATTGATTTTAGTATAAGCAATTCTTCTTGTTGTTGTTGTTTGTCACTCGTCATTATAAATCGTTTCGTTTGCCGTATATTTAGTTCTTTTTGTAAACCTTTATATATATATATATATTTGTTTTTCTTCTCTATAGTGACACAGAATTGCTTTGTTCTTGCGCAATTATAAGAAAGAATAAAAAATGCATGCATATATTTTTGCATGCATATATATTTTTTTTAATGTAGCAAAAATACAAGCAAAAGAATCAAATAATTTTATAGATAATTTAAAACTTAAAAATAAAACCAGAAAATAGAATAAATCAAATTGTAAGGATATTTGTTTTTATTGTACAACTAACATTTATTTAATTTCGACGTAAAGCATCAAGACGAGCTTCTAAATCAGCATCAGCTGTGGATACTGCTTGTTGAGCTTGTGCTGGATTAGCAGCACGACCAGCTAAAGCACCATTTTGTGCATCTAAAAAAAAATTAGAAATAAATGATTGTGTCTTTCTTTCAATCCTATGAAGTTAACTTACTAGGTATTTGGTTAGCTATTGATATATTAAGTTCGCTAAGTACTTGATCAACAAGTCCTTCACTAAAAAATACTCAATAAAATTGTTTTTCTGTTGTTATTAAAAATAAATTTTTTTTCTTACGTTGCTTCTTCATCGTCATCTCCTTCAAAAGCAGCATCCATAGCATCATTCATCATTTCTTGTTTTATATTATTAGCGGTCATATTTTGTTCGAACATTTGCATGGTTTTTTGAAAATCTTGTAGTGGCATCTAAATTATAAAGAAGGAAAATTGTTAATGTAATTCCTACGAGATTAAAATGTGAAACACGATGTACCTGCTATTGCAGATTACAGGGAGAGCATTTTATTCTACCTTTTTTGGGACACATTTCTACACTATCATTTTACTTAATCTTTCAGAAATGCAAAAAGGTAGTAGTTTATATTTTAGCACGAGATGTTATTGATATATGGTCTTTAATTGTATATCAACAATATGTAAACATAGTAATAGTCGATTTCCCCAGATATTATCATAGTTTCATTGAGGATTCCTCTAAAACTTAGAAATTCCTACTTCTCATTTCTTGAATATCGCTCTATATTTCAATAATTCTCTTAGATCAACCACCATGACTTCCAGTGACTACGTTATTCGACACGTATTTGCAAGGTGCTGTGGGGAAATCTCAACACCACTGGCTAGTATATGATTAGTTAATGTATATGGAGAACTCAATAAATTTAGCACAAGAACTCTATGACCCCACACCATAATGTAACTGAAAGGCAGAAATACTCTGTCTTCCTTTTTTATCGTGTTTCACAACAAAAACAAATTATGAAAATTCATTAGATATAAAGAAAGTAAACAAACCATTTTATTTAATCTTGCTAATGTTTTGGTTGTTTTAACCATAACACTAGCCATTGTCATTTGAGCATTCATTGATGATGTTTCAGATTCTAGTGTTGATAATGTTGCATCCATAGCACCTAATTTATTTATTTGATTTCGTTGATTGACTATATTTTTGGCATATGTTCGTAATGCTTTCTATTGAAGAAAAAAACGAAATCAAATGAAAATAAAGAAAGATAAGAAAATGAACATACTTGTTCGCCTTTAGCAGCTAATTTACGTATTTCATTTTCATTACGTGTTTTTTCATTATTTAATCGATTTTTTTCACGCTCAAGTTCACGTCGTGCTCGTCGAATAGCTCTCTTGTTTTCTTGCATTATTTCTTTTGGTGTTTTTCTATGGAATAATTCTCTTAGTGTATCCATTATTTGATGATGATGATGATGATGATGGTCTAATAAATCTAATACGGAAACAATCTATAAAATAGAATATATATGTTGTGGCCCAAATGAAAATTTGCTCTGATGAACTTTAAAATTAAAAAAAAAGATCCATAACTAACGAATGAGGAAGATCAGCCGTAAGATGAAAGTAAAAAACGGATTCAATCACATTTATTTGCGCACCCCTCATCCAGACTTTGCTCAACGCCGATCCAATTCATGCTCTATTTATGAATCCTTCTTGAAATTTTACAGTTCATCAGAAATATCTTTTAATTTGAACTATAACAAACAAGGTGAATAAAACGTCAGTGAATAAATTTTTTCGCAAAATATTTTCCATAAATAAATTATTCTAACTAATATTTATGAATAACCTCAAAGAAGGAGAAAAACATCAATTTCTTGTAATATCGTATGAAAATGCATTCTTGTTCATTCCAACATACTTGTACGATAAAATAATAGTAATATGCAATTTCGTTAATTATTACTGCGACGTATATGAGGCCAAATATCAGTCCGGACAATTTATTTATGAAGGAGATATTCTAAAAAGAATTCTTACTCACTTACTTTTGCCCTACCCTGTATATATCAGAAATCATAAGTGAATAAATGAGTAAGAAAAGAAAACAAGTGAGATGACGTGAGTGAGTAAACATTCATACACTCGGATTTCTCATTCATCATGAATCATGCTGATAGATGATGCCAACCAGCAGGAAATTGATTCTAAAAATATTTTATAATTTAAATTTGAATCTAAAAGATAAAATTGTTTTAAATATTTTATTATTAAAATAAGAATATGAATTGAAAGATGGCGCTATGGAATAGAAACTAAAATCGATGATTTATACAAAGGCTGTTTTTTTGTTTTTTTTTGACAATCATAACGCAATTTTCACAGGATAAAAACTATTTTCTAATTGTTGACTAAATTAAAAGGAAAAAAAAATTGATCATCTTTGCAGCCCAATCAATCGAGAAAAGAAAGCGATAACATCTTTTCCATTAGACATAGCAAGCGTTGGGCATCGTTAAATGATTGTGTAACAGTAATCAAAGAAACATGGAAATCATTTATTCAGATTTTCATATGTTGGTTTTTCAAAAATAAACTCGTAATTTTTCTTTGTTCATCTTTGTATTTTTTTTCTGGAGTTGACATGTCAAAGTAAAGTTCAAAATTGTTCTCTTTTTCGTGTAAATTTCATTTTCTGTTTTCATATGAGATGAATATTTTATCGTTATCTCAATATTGTTTCTCACTCATAACACAGATAAGCATCCATGAGTGTGTTAAAATGTGTAGTAGAACAATTATCTGCTGATATTATTATGAGTCTTACTAACGAAATACGAAAAAAAAAGAACAGCTGAGTTCTAGATAAAAGAAACATGTAAGAACTACTAAATAGAATTCGAATTTCATTCGACTGCGAAATATGGTGCAAAACTTTAAATGTCAATTGATGGATAAATCGATATGTTCTGAAAAAGAAAAAAAATACTTGTTTGGATGATTGAATATCAAACGCTTTTCTCTAAACGAGAACTACGATTTACTCGAATCAGGGCTTGTTTTTTTTTGTCGCTGTAAATCAGAAAAATTCAGTTTCAATCAATCAGATGAGCGAAGTCAGAAAAAAATTGTGCAGTAACTATCGCGGAATTTATTATTAAGAAAACTCTATTAACGAATGTAAATATGAGTTTAAGCAATACTTTCAATTGATCTCTTGATTCTCTCGTTTTGATTCATGATCAATCATCAGCGAAGAGATTGCTGTCTTTATTTTGATAATCTCGAAGCTTGCAAAAATTCACTTCTTCAAGTGATTCTTTGTAAGAAAATGGAACGTCCAATAAAAGACAAGAAACCTGGATGCTATCAATTCGATGATGAGATTTATTTTTGCATTTGAAGAAGTATTTTCTTACTTTCGCTTCCTGAGATCATTGTGACCGAAAATGACTAATTTTGAAATATGGATCGATAAAGAAGAATAGCATACATTAATTTCAATCAAGTTTAAAGATCGCTCAAATATTTAGTGTTGTTGTACTCAAGAAAAATTGTTCAAACATATGCTCGAGCAATCAATAAATAAATTTTTTACTGTTTCTAACCAATTTTTTGCCGACGCAGGTTGAAGAATAATAAAGTGCATCATTTGATTATAGTTTTAATGTAGAAAATAACGGGTCAGACAGGTTAAATGGCTACGCTTCGCATTATAATTTTCAATCACTTAATACGTTGTATTAAACAAAACAAAATATACCACAAGATACAGCATGAAAAGCTCTACAATTTATACAGTAAAGCTTATTGTAACTGTTTTCAAAAAAAAGTAAAATTCTGTGCGATCAATTTTCGCACAGTCGAAAATTTGTTTATTTTCAAAACAACTATAAAATAAGCGATCTTATATAAATTGTAGAGCTTTTTACGCGACATCTTATGATATATTTTGTTTTTCTAATACAACGTATTAAGTGATTGAAAACTAAAATGCGAAGCGTAGCTATTTAATCTGTCTCACCCGTTAATATCAATGAGAATCAAATCAAAGATACGAGATTTCTCAATATTCGAAAAGCTATTGAGTGAATATAAACTATGCCAAATAGTGACAAGCGTGGCTTGAACGCTTCTAATAGCAACGACTTTATCAGGAAAACTCAATACTAATATTTTTCTTGAATATTTGGCTTGAGAAGTATAAGAACTATAGTTAATATTTCAGAGACATATTTAAGAAGTTTCAATTATTCAAGGTAGAAATAATTTATAAGGAATAAAAGTTCGGTTTATTTCATATGGATTAGTTCAAACGATCGGTGCTGATACTACTATGATGACAAAAATTAGAATCATCAGTATAATAGCAGAATATTTTAAAACTAAACAGATTGTTTTTTTATTATTTTTTAAAATTTATTGAACGAAATAAGAGCACCTTTTGTATGACAAATATAAAAGAACAATGTCGAATTCGATATGTTCATAAATATGAATTTTGAAGATGATAAAAGAATAAAGCACCAATTGTTTAAGAAAATAATACAGTTAAAAGTTATTTATGCTCAGTAGTTGCTGGTCGTAATGGAAGTCGAATATGATGTATACTTGTTGGTTGTTGTAAAAATAATTCCCAAGCAGATTTTTCTTCTTCTGTTGTATTTAAAGATTTAATTAGTTTATTATCAAATTGTCCTTGGGATGAATTAAGTCTAATAAAACTAATCATTACTTTTCGAAAACGTTCTTGACGCCATAAACTTATTTCAATAGATATATTTTTTAAATTACTACGTGATATATTTTCCCATCGTAATGGAATATCCCATTTTGGTGATGGTCCTTTACGTGTTATTACTAATTTTCGTTTGATTTTATCAGGCATTAATAAACTAAATTAATAACGAAAAACAAAAGAATGATAAAACCATAAATTAAACTAATTTAAAAATAAAAGAACTATGTATTTACCCTTTGCATATAATATCAAAATTATGTTTTCCATGATAAATCATTTTACCCTGAATAGAATTGACTTGTATAGTTCCTAATTCTTTATTTGTTGAATCTGTAATGAATGTTAAATCAATATGTAATTCATTAGAATCCGCCGTTGGCTCAGTATTTAGTATTAACTATATATTAAAAGGTATAAAAAGAAAAAGAATGTCGTATTAACTTTTGAAAAATAAATTACATTGTCTTTCGGCATTCGAGCTAAAAGTGTATATACTTCGAATTTATCTAATATACAATTGACTAACGGAATATGTATTTCACCAAGAAAATTATTATGTCCTAATGATGTTTGACTCCACATTGAGACCCACAAAATACGTGAATTAAAATCTTCTGTAGTTAAATGATACTAAAGAGAAATTAAATATTTTGTTTTTTTTTATTTAAACCAAAACACATCAACGATAAAAACGTACACGAAATGCTTCGTTAAATACTGGTTCTATTGTATCTTTTTTAATAGTTGTTTTACGTTTACTAGCTTTAGATTTATCAGGTAATAAATAAATTTTACAATATCTAGAAAGATTTTTTTTTATTGAAATAAGATAATATATTTGATTAACAATACATACGGATTTGATGTTTGATTTCGTTTAACACGAGCTAAATCCGTGCACTTTTTAATATAAATATCCAATGAACTTGTATTGATATTATACGAAAGTTTTAATTCAATTGTGCCAGATATATCATGATCATGCTGAAATTTCATATCACCCCATGCACTATTTAGACTTGATTGTGAACTCTATATAAACAAAAAAAAAGTGAATCAATAATCGACAAAAATAAGAATAAAAGTTAAAAATAATTTAGTATAGTAATGAGAGCTAAGTTAAGGCATTGTTTTTTTTAACTTACGCGAATATCGTTCATAGAAGATGTTAATTTAGATGAATCCTATAGTTCAACATTCTTACTATATTATTTAAATATTTATTTTTATTAAATTGTTATAAGAATTTCTATTCTCTAGAATATATTCTATCTGATTAAAAAAAAACAATAAACTTACCAATGGAACTGTTTCGGTTATATCGTCAACATTATCACTATTAGCAGGCGATAAATGATTTCTAACACTTTCTAATTTATTTTCAAGATTATTTTGAGAATCGTTTTCATTATTTGCTATTATTATGCTATCTGATACATTTGAATTTTCTTGCATGAGTGGCGATTCAATTGCATTTGTTGAAGCAAATGTAATTGGTGAACTATGATTACTAATATTAGATGGTTCTTTTGATTCATCTATAGATGACTGTCGTATTTCAAGATTTGTGCGAGAATCTAAATATTAAAATAATTGCAGAATGAATAAAAAGTAAAAATCTAAGTTTTAAATACGATGAAAAAAGAATTAGAAAAATGAAGTTACAATTAGAGAAAGAAAAAATACAAATGTTTTTTTTATTGTGTTTGATAACGTTTTTTGTCCGATGATCGATGTACAGTGCGCTTGCGTGGTGGCAAATTTGCTGTTGTTACAGATGTATTCAAATTCTCATTCTTTGGTGGTGATGATGATGTTAAATGTAATTTCATAAGAAGATATTTCGTTTTTGACAATTTAGCAGGTGGAGTTACTGGTGGTTTTATAATAGATGTTGCACTAGGTGCTTTTACAATGGCACGTTGTGGTGATCGTATATGTTCATCTTCATCATCATCACTAACAAAACTATCACTCCATCGTCTTCCTAATAATACTCGATCATTTTCATGTTGTTTTCGATTTGTATCATTTGTTTGTACATTTGATTTTGTTTTTCGTACATGTGTAAATGTTTCCATACCATCAAGTTCTTTTGATAAAATACTACCATCATAATTATATTCACCTATTGCATCTTCTTCTTCTTCACCAATACTATGCAAAGCATGTTTATCATGATTAATTTGTTCTGTTGATGAAACTTTAGTAAGTGTAGATGATGAAGAATAGGCAGGCATATTATTTACATATGAAATATTTGTATTTGTTGAAATTAAATCTTTATCAATAATTCGTCTGTTATGAGAATAATCTTCGAGAGAATCATCATCCCAATCGAACGTTCGCGAATTTCCATTTGGATCAGTTATATAAATAGCTGTCGGAATGATTAGATTGGAAAGATTAGATAATGGATTTTTTTCTTGAATATTCGTTGTTTTTTTTACATTTTTTCTATTTCGTATTAATAAACTTTCATAACTACTTTCATCACTTGATGTTTCATCATCATAACTGAAATTATTTTGTGAATGAAAATAAGAACGTGTAGATGTTATATATGAAGCTGGTGTCCAAGTTGGAGAAATTGATGGTGAACTTTGATCATCATCAGTTCCATTTTGTTTTTCTACCGTAGTTTTACGTTTCATTTGAACAGATTCTTCAAATGAAAAGAAAGAATATGGACGTTGTGGAAGTGTTGGTTGTGTTTTTCTTGGTTCTATAAATATAGTTGTTGATTTAGGAGGTTTTTTTGTTGTAGTCGTTGTTGCTGTTGCTATTCCATATTTATTTTTAGTATAAGGTGCAAGTAAATTTGGATTTGAGGATTCAGTTGATGTTGTTATACATTTTTTTTCCGAAGCTTTTCGACGTGTATTTGATGTTGTTAACGGTGTTGTTCGTTTTTTTATTCCTATTGTTGATATTTGTGGTTCATTAGTATTTGATAATTCATTTTTATTGTTATTTGATGATGTTTCATTGGATATTGTTTTAATATTTGATGTTTCTACTGGTAAAATTTTATTTTCAAGTGTTTGAGTACAATCATTTGATGTCATAATATTTTCAGAATTATTCACTGTATGTTGATGTTCTAATGCTTTAGCTTTCCAATGTTGAAATATTTCAATAATAAATGCTTCTTTATAAATTGAATCAGGATCATCATCATGATTTGCAAGATGTTTATTAAGAAATGTACGATGTCCTGTTGGTGGATAAAAACTAGGCATTTCGGATTTGATTAATAATGATGGATGTTCAGCAAGTATTGTTTGTTGTTGTTCAAGATGATAGACTTTGGTCATTGTACTATAAAAAGTGTAATTCAATGTTTTGCATTGATGAATAAAATTATCTCAATATCAGCAAAGTGCAAATGTATCGTTTAACTATACTTGTTAGTTTTTTTTTTTTTTGACGGACTTTTTTCCTCTCTTCCTGTGCTCTACGATAATTATATCTATTTACAGTACACGGGAAATTGGCGTTAAGTTAACGATGTTTATTCAACTGTGACTGATGAGTCATAGAATGCAGTCGCTGCATTTATACTATACATATACTCATCGCTTCCTCCTATTAGGCATGACTTCGTTTATAAACGTTTCTTCTTTTTTTTCATAATCGAATAAAATATATCAAATTCCATTTAAATTAATCTTGTTCATAATTTACGAAAAATATTCATAGAGAAAATTGATTGGAAAAACATTATTTTGTTTTTTTTGTATCTTACTTGATTTCTGTTGTTGAAACCCATTGTAGATGTATAAATGCGATAAAATTTAATCACCACGTTTGTTATTTTGTTCTATATCTTTACAACCAACCACTCACAACGATACTGATACGAATGATGTAAATTATGAAAGTCAATATCTTAATCCGTTATGATTCATTGATCTTCAGCGCAAAGAAAAACAAGAAAGAAAAAAATACACAGAATAATAAACAAGTAACGAATGAGTTATTTATATCACAGACAATTAAAGCAGCAGGTAATATATATATTCGTATGTATAAAAGAATCGTTCAGGCGTATACATATAAGCGATGTGCGCTAGTTCTCACGCGCACGGCTATCAACCGTGAAAAATATGCTTTAGAAACATGAGCAAGCGAAACGAATATTTGAATACAGAAAGAAAAAAAACATAACAAGAAGAAAAAAAAAATAGATATTCCGACGCCGGGAATCGAACCCGGGCCTCCTGCGTGAAAGGCAGAAATCCTAACCACTAGACCACGTCGGATACATTGATATAAGTTATACATACTCGATGTACTTTGTACACTGGACACTTTTAGTGATTTTGTATCTTCATCTTTCATAGTCAAACTGGTTGACATTTTAGAATTGAGTTGTTTTTCCGAATGTAACGAACTACGTGATAATGATAATTGTGGATGTGAAATACGATGAACTGCACGACGTAAACTTTGCATTGATGTACTAACATGTTTCGAAGACGAGTGTTCAGTTGTTGTAGATGTTAAACTCAGTTTGGAACCACCTATCAACAAATTAAATATTCATATATTCTATTTCTTCGATATCTGAGTTTCAATTTACTCAAAAAAACAAAAACATCCGTTATATCTCAACAGTGAAACGATTCTATTCAGAAGAATATCATCGAAAGTGCTTTCTTGACATTTAAGTAATATATCTTAACTCAATGACTTTATTGTTTAAGAGAAAGATTTGAAATTCGTTCAGAAATCGATTTTTTAAAACGGTTAAACTTTATTTTTTATACTCTTGTACCGGTAAAACTTCTAGCATAGACTGAATTAGAAGAAATGTTAGTATTCTAAGCATTTAAAATTATGAGAAATAAATCCGAAAAACTAGACATATTATTTAATTTTTTACGAAAAACATATGTTGCGATCAAAATTTGAATCCGATCAAATTCTAAATTTGTTTGGACAACATTGCAATTCTAATTTTGACCAAGCAAAATTAGAATATCATTTTGATGAACTATAAAACTGAAAAAGAAAACAGCAATACCGATAACACGAATGGAATCACGAATGATGATGACGACGAGGTGGAGGTCTGAGGGTGGTCGAGAGGAGTCTGGTTGTGGACCCTGAGGTTTGGGTGAAATTAGAGTGAATAATCGCGTAAAACCTTAGTCGTACTCAAAAATTCACCCTCATTAATAGCTTCCTTGCCCTCACCAAGACTATCTGACGGATCCTCACACAGAATCTTTTCTCTCACCCTCATCATCATTCTTGACCTCACTCGTGTTTTTGGCAGTGCTTTTTTTCAGTTTTATAGTTCATCCAAATAATATTCTAATTTTGACCGTAACATATAGATAAGTATTTTGAATTGAGTTTCATGATATATTTAAAAAAAAGAGATTAGTACAATTTATGTAGGATATTTCATTTTTTTTTAAACTACATCTTCATCATCACTTTACGTAATTCTTTAGAAATGCAATAACGAATTCATATATTAGAACGATATATTATTGATATACGACCTTTGATTATATATCAACAATGTCTGCCACAATCGATGACACAGTGGGATGCAGTATTGTTCAGACATATATCACAATCTGTGATGATCTGTTCCTAACATGTCAGTCACATTTGTGGGGAGTTCAAATTTCTAGCTGCATATGTTAAGAATTTCTTTTAATTTCATTCTTAATATTTTCTATATTGTTAAAACTTACGATTAAATGATTGATGACGTCGTGGTACTTTTAATTTATCGCTTTCTGATTTATTATCATTATTGTTATCCAATTCAGATGATCGTATAGATGGACTGTCGATATCACTTCGATTAACATTGATATTTTGATTTGAATTTTTTGTTAATATTTCCGTATTTGACGATATTGATGAATTTTGTTTGTTTAATTTTTGAGTTTGACGATTTATTGATGAATTTAAGGAAGAATTAACTTCATCCGATGAACTATTTACTGTATTAGGAGTTGATGCAAGTGAACGAATTCGTCTCGGTAATGGTTGTGTTAATGATGTATTCAATGGACGTCTTTCCAAACGTTTTTTAAGATAATTTAGTTTTTGTTCATCATTATGATTTTGAACAATCATTTTATTTATTTTATTATTTGAATTTGATTCTTTTGGTTTAGTCGGTTGAACACTAAATCGACTATTTTTATTGGATAATGGAACAAGATCTTCTGGTTCAGAATCCGAACTTGATACTGGATTTATATCTACTTAAAACAAATGTTAAATTTCAATTTAAGAATAAATTAATTCATACTGTGTGCAGAAACAAAAGGTGGAACTGATTCATACAAAGTTTCTGATGGATCTATCAGATCTTTTCGAAAATCACTACGAATTGAATACATCCATTCACCTGAATAGCTCATCAATTGCCTAAAAATAAACTTAAGAATTAATATATCCGACGTGGTCTAGTGGTTAGGATTTCTGCCTTTCACGCAGGAGGCCCGGGTTCGATTCCCGGCGTCGGAATACTTTTTTTTTCTGTTTGTTTCATTATTTCTTCCAAACTTACATCTGTTTGCAACATAACTGACACAACCAGCTATTGTCATTAACATTATAGATAAGTCGACATTGTTTACAAACTTTTGCGGAACATTTCGGGCATGTATCACCAGTATTAAATATAAAACCAAATGGTGTTTGACATCGAGCACATATTGATTTTGATGCTGATTGTGAATGTTCTTTAAGTTCTGCTACTTCTTTTCGCAATTGCCTAAACAATAATTATGACCATGTATATTATATTATAATTTTTACTATTCTTAAAAAGAACTTTAATCTACATACATGAAGCGTGATAAATGTTTATTACGAAGATTTTCATCTCGTAATAAAACATCAAGAATATGTTGTTTTTCATCATCAAGAAAAGCTGAAAGATCTGGTAAATTCATCATATTATCTTCAATAACAATTGTTGATGGTGATGGAGTTCGTTCGGTATTATTACGATTATTACGTGTCATTTTTAAACTCTGAAATATGACATTATAAATTGAAATAAATGAATGTAAAAAAATAAAAAACAAGAAAAGAAATGCATTTATTCAAAAGACAATATTACAAGTCAATTGACCCGTATATTATAATATTAGACAAAAAAAAAGAATTTGGCTCAAACAATGATCATAAATCATTTAAAAAATATCTTTAAGTTAAAACGAAACTGTTGGGATTATGGGCTTATAAATGACTATGGTATCTATATATATATAAATATATGTGTCGTTTGAATCATCGATGATAAATATACATCATCCTCCAAGGCATAATTGTCGAGAGAAAAAGAAATGGGAAAAGAAAAAAATGTTTTTTTTTTTTATGTGTTTGTTCCTCTTTTTTTCTTTAAATAAAAGAGAGAATCTTCGGAGCGTCAACCTCATATTTTCCTTCTTCTTTACTCTTGTTTCGGTTCGTTTGAAAAAATGTTCTTCTTTAGGTTTTTTTTCCTAAATTACTATTATATATATATATATATATATATATATATTTTTGCGATCATCCTTTACTAACTAATTATTAGTTGCCGCGCTACTACCACTTATAGTAATATGATGCATTTCTCGACAGAACAATAACAAATTATAAAGTTAACCGAGGCTGAAGTTAAAATGAATGTTCTAACGAAGAATTTTATGTGTGTGCGAGTGTTTATATTAGCAAATGAAAATATAATCACGGTATATATGTAGTAAATAAACCTGTGTGCACATGTACAACTAATAATTTTTATTTATTTGTATCTATTTTGTACAGTTTTACATACAATCCGATACACTTCATAAACAGAATCGACAACTAACATGAAAAAAAAACACCTGTAGACGTTGACATGTAAAAAGAAAAAATGTAATCATCTAACCTATAATTAGACACTGGAAAAAAAACACTTTAATTTTGATAGTCATCGACTTTCATTTATTTGTTTCTCTCAGTTAAAAGAAAACAAAACTATGAAACACATGGCGTATAGATATATATTAACTAATTTAAAATGTATACGAGCTAACATCTAACAAAGTATTAAAAATTATATTAGATATTTGTTGATGGTTCTAATTCTCAAGAGAATAAAAGTCGATTGATAGCAATACTCTATAGCTTTTAGGTATAATTAATTGAATATTTTCGTTTAAAAAAAAAAGAAGAAATAGAATATGAAAAGATAATTCAAAAAATTTTTTTTTTCTGCTTATAAAAATAATGTCTAGTTATACATTCTTTTTTTCATTCATATATGATTTATTTGTTTTCTTTTTCTACTCGGAAATGATTCGGTGATATAATTGACTTTGAATCGGTGAATAACTTCATTCACAATATTCATCGTTGTCTTGACTACATAAAGCCAATATGTTTATGTTTTCCTCTTTTGTACGCCTGATCACTATTCATTTTACACGCTATATTTCATGATTATAGTAGAAAAATAAATGCACCCATTCGCAAATCAACGACTTGCTAAAAACCTTTTTTTAACTGAATGTATGTAAATACAATTTGAATGTTGATCTTATGCATAACACGCTTTTCCTAGAATTTTGTATTCCAAACAGAACTTAAATATTTATGCCAAAATCAAGTTATAGTATAATTATTGAAGAAAGCAAAAACAGAAAATGGATTACTTACCATTATGTTTGTATTATTCATCTTTTTATTATGTTCCATTATTATTAATGATGATCATTTCTATATATAAAATTATTTTTATTTCTGTTTTTTTCTGTAGACAATAATAATGAATATTTCTACAGAAAAAAACATTCAGTCACTGTACCTAGATTCTGCTTTCTGTTCTATTCTTATTTTCTTGTGCTGCTTTTTCTATGTTAGATAAACAAACACGCATTTGGCAACTTGTTACTACTTCTAACAACGTCACGCACATCGTGATCTATTGTAGCGTATAATCTCTTGTGGGCAGTGGAAGAACGATGATGTTGTTGCATTGTCATCAACCAAATATGCATATGAGCAATGGATTGTTAATTCTTATTCAACAAGAATAACACAACAATAAATGATAAACACATTTTATTATCTTTCTTTTCAAGGTTTCTGATGGGAATAAAAAAAAAAAAACTATTCAAAAAAACATCGCAAAAACAAATGTAAACAAAAAGCAATCGACGACATTTACTTATGACATGTAACCAAGACAAAATTATAAGTAAAGCATTAGTATTCTTGTGTTAGATACTTATTATCTATAATAATACTCACGTGACTTAATCTAATTCTATATATCATTAATTCAACAAATATGATTAAATCTATTGACTTCATTATTAATTAACAGAAAAAAGAAGTTCAAGTCGTTTTTTCCAGAATTTTCTTGAACTAAAATATGTGAGTGTTTTTTCTAGTTCTTCAAGGCATTGAAACATGTTATTTTCCTCGATGTATAACACATAGAATAATGACAACAAACAATTCTATGTTAAAAAGCGTAAAAAACACTTAACACTTGATGGATAAAATATAAAGTGAATTAAGACTGTTTTGAAGTATGTTTTATTTTCAATGGCAACTCGTTCAAATTCTATTCTATAATTTGAAAGTAACTACTTTTTTTTAAATCAAATTAATTTAAAATATTGTTTAATAAACTAAACAAATTATGAAACATTGCTGCGTAAACCAAAAACTTTAATTGTATATTTTCACGATATTTCAATGTTATTTATTGTTCAAATGAATGTTTTTGAAAGAAAAAAAAAGTTTTTTCTGAATATATTCATTTAAGATGTAACAGCCTGTGGGATCCTTCTATAAATTCTATTATATATCCTATTATCAAACGGAAGAAACTAGGCTAGAGGCAGGTGTCTGGCAGATGGGGGGGACTAGAAGGACACTTAGGGCCGATAAACAGCTGCGGTGAAGGCTGATTCTTCTAAACTATGGATACAATGAAAATTGATTATGTGCTTCGGATAAGTCCCGTCATCGAAATAAATTCTGGTAGTCTATTTTTTCCAATAATTCATAAAAATATCAATCAATACTTCTAGAAGTAATTGTTTTCAAAAGAATTTCATTGATTCATGTGAAATATGCAAGATTTCTTTATTTTTTACTAATATTATCTTCAAAATATTCATGTATCAAGTTTTTATTTAATACGTATTTTCTTCTCTTTAAACAACAAAGCTATCAGCCTTAAAAATCTGATCAACAATTCCTTTATCTTATGTTTTGTTAATTTATTTCCTTCAATATTGAATAAATAGAATCACAGATCATCTTTATATGTTATACGAAATGGCACAATCATCATGTCTTGTATGTATTTCAGTAAACCATGAAATTCAATATTGTATTTGAGATTCTACCAAGATTGTACGAACGATTATGGTATTATCCAAAGACATAACAGAGCTTTTTTAATTATTGTGTATATAATTAACAACGTCAAAAAGGAATTTTCATTCAAGAAAAGCATATATATTCTAAATGATTAATGACAATCAGACAAAAAAATTACTCTGGCAAATTTTTTTGATATTACTTCTCGTTTCTAAATAAAAATGAAAAAGAACAAACGTGATAGAAAATAGTTTCTATTAAAAGAAGATTACACAAAGACTTGTATAACAAGTTATTACAATCAAAATAAATAAAGCTCAGAAGGAAAAGAAAAAAGAAAAAAATCCTAAGATTTTATTTAATTATTTACAGATAAAGAAATCTATTGAATAGTATAAAAGTACTTGAATATATTTAAAAAAATATTTCAACTTATGATAATACTTATACGATTCTTTTCATTGCTTTACATATAAAACAGCTCGAAAACTGATTACTGACACATATCCTACTTCTGTTTTTTACATGTGAGAAATTCAATCTATAAAAATTCAGATCATTCCTATTCACATCAAGTTCAACAACTTTTGATTGACAAAAAAAAGTTCGATTTATTTCTATTGAAAATACTATTTTAATCGAGCTATTTACAGAAATTAAAAAGAAGAAATTCAACGTGTCATGCAATATTTGTAAACGTTTACTAGAAGAAAAGTTATTTTTCTTAAAAACATGTAGTATAGAAAAGGACATCGACGTTCGCTTCATACAATTTAGTTTGGAAAAATTCCAAATAGAGACAAAAATTAATAGGTCATTCTGTAGTTGGCTTCTGACGCTAAGAGATTTCTATATAATATTTTTCTCAACAGGCCCAGATTTTTCAAAGGTGATATATTCCCTAATTACTTTCTAATTAATAGTCAATTAAAAGAGCCAACATTTTTACATGTCTGTGTTCAAAGAACTTATTCACAAACATAACTCTTGTCAAGAATCCAAGTCAAATGAAAGGTGGGTATATCTCGTTTTGCCCTGTAATGCGCCATATATTGTCACATATTCAACTTCTATCAAAAGGTTGGCAAAATGAATTTTATTAAGGAAAAAAAGAATTTTAATCACGAAAGAATTCAATTTTATGCCTCATATAGCAAACAAGAACTTTGAAATTAGATTAAATCAATTAGAAAAACTATGTCAAATTAGTTATACAACTTGAAAACTTCCTAAAATCGTTTTTTGTTGCTTCTTGTATCCATATCGGATGAACGTTTGTTAGTCAGAGAGGACTTATTGGTGTATCACTGTAGATATTGTAAACAATTGTTTTCAGCTTAGATGGTATCCGTAGATTTTACAGATATCTTCTATTGAAGAATAAATATAGTGACGCGTTGATGAAAAATAATTGTATTACATTTGAAGAACTTATTTAAATATTATTCAGTTTTAAAAGTGGAAACAAGAACAGTTAATCGCAAAATTGTGTATATTATTATATTCATGAAAACCTAGTTTGATTTTTGTCTCATCAATTCAGATATATGTTGGGTCGAAATAGATTTTAAAGGATATGAAAAGCATCTTTTATTTTCATTTTCAAAAGTTAGTAGATCGAAGTCACTTATCGGAGAATCTCGTCAGATGTCTT